ACTTAAAATTTGAGCCATTCCAGAAGCAGGTCTAGATTGCCTTTGGATTTGCTAGGATCCCGTCTTCCTTCCAAACTGCTTCATACGGCCTTGAAAACGCATGTCAAGACTCGTGCAAACACTTACCCTTTATACGGGCGTACCTGCCAGGTGTCGGATGAGGCGGCCCTCACCCGCATCAAGGAAGAGGAATGGGAGATCACTGAGGCGCTAAAAGAAAAAGCATGAAAAAACATGTTTAGCATCACCATCAGCACCCAAAATCGGTGTTCGCATCAAAATCAGCACCCAAAAAGGGGCTCGTTGGACACATCAGGATGTTCGAGTCTTGTGCGAGGCTTCTTTTTGGGTGTGGAGTCTTAGACGGGGTCCAGGGGGCCCAGAGGGGGCCCAGAAAAAACAGCAGCAGATCTCAGTCTGCTGGGGCTCGCCACACCTGTACCATCCTGTACCTCTCCGACTCTCGAAGGTGACCGGCGAGCCGAGCAGCGCGGCCCAGCTGAGCGCGAAGGATCAGGAGCTCGTGGAGTTCCGAGCCAACGCCAGCCAGTGACCTGGCAGCGGTGACATCACCTGCTGGAATCAGGGTGGAATCGGATGGAATCGGTCCACCATCGGTGAAGTCTATAGAATGCTGTAGTCCGGGGTCCGGCGTAGAACCACGGTGTGGGTGGTGAGCGAGCGCTGCTGCGGGGCGGAACCGACAGCTCGGGGGCATCCAGTGGATTTGGCAGACAGCCACTAGAATAAGGAACCGGATTTTCGTATGTTGATGTAAGTTTTTCTGGAACCACTGACTACCAGCATAGTATGAGTGGATGCCCTGGGAATGGTTGAATCTGGCTGGGTTGCTTAGTGGTTAAGCTTTTCAGTCAGTGAACTTGTCATGCTCCTTGACGATGCTGAATTCCCTTGCCAAAGGGCCACTGGAAAACAAACCGCCTGGGCCAAATTTCCGGTGATCCCCTGTCCAGTCCTACCGAACCTCAGGTACTGTGATGTGTTCGAGAGACATGCGCCAGGAGGGTCCAGTCGTACCGAACCTGAGAGGGTACGACTGGATCCCATAGGGTTTCGTTTCACCTCTCCGTCGTCCCTCCGAGGCGCCGCTGGCTGGTCTCGGCCGATCTGTCCGAGAACCAGCTGCCCAACACGGCGGCGATCGCGGGACCCCTGCGGCTCGGTAGGGGTTGGGGAGGCAGACTCCATGGTACTGGAAAGTGCGGGTTCTTCTTTGTTGGTGTGGCGGGGGTCACTGGGTAATACTAGGTAGGTAGGTACTAGGTAGGTCTGGTCACTCTCTAATGTGTAGAGTGTTTCTCCCCCCATCTGGGATGGGGCCTCTCTCGATTTCGGAATGGGACCTTCTCCTTGCCGGGAGGTCTAGGCTATTGTTGATTTTTGTTGGAACTCACTGCGGTCTTCAGCACTTCATCGCTGCGGGATGTCCCATGATGGCTGCGGATCTTTTCTTCCGGTCCAGCGTGTGCGCTTGTTTTCCCAGGGGCTTAGCCATGGCTCGCAGGCAGTGGTGGGAAAAGACACAAATCACATTCAATTAGACAAGTGACAAGTGGCCTGGACGCTGTATCGATGCCTCAGGTGGTTGAGGCATTTGAATTTGGGGATGAATCCGTTGGAGTCTTTGGACGGCCTGGGCAGCTCCTTTCCAAGGCCTCGCCAGTGATTCGAACACGCGGAAAACGCGGAGGGTGTCGCAGAGGTTGGGTCATTGGTGGCCCCGTTGTTCCAAAATGAAGACTATACTATAAGCAATATCTCATGAAACTGTTGTTTGGGGCAGGACTCCAAAGATTATTCGATAGTCAAAGGGGATGGAGAGGGATGCAGCAGCCCAGAATGAACAGGGGAATCAGTACCCAAAACAAGGAGCAAGCTTTGGGACGTGTTCAAACCTACAGAAGGGATGGCAGGAGATTCGTGAGAGAATGCCGGTGGCTTCTCCGATGCGTTCCGATCGAAGTTGTCGGAACATGTCGTAGCTTATTTGGGTGGTTGTTCTCAGAGATTGTTATGTTCAACCTCTATACCAGCACCCTCCAACAGGTCACCAATTGAAACCTGTTAGGGCCCTTCCCAACCCTCCATTTCGGAGACCTGTTGGGTTCGGTGCTGGTACTTGGGACGATTGAACCTACTGACTCATGTTTTTGTTCAACTGAATTGAGACCACCAACCATTTGGGATTGGAGGGGTGCCGGAGTCGAGTCTTGTCGGTGCTTCATTTTTCTTTCATCGGTTTCATCCAACAACGGCATGTGTGACTTAGTCCGACTAGCCTTCCGTTCAGCCATATAGTTTACCTGCAAAATCCTTAAGAAAACAATTGTTTTTCGGTAAAGTCTCTTGAATTAATGGTGGTTGGAATTCAAGGTTATTTAATTTGCATCTCCTGTCTTACCAACTGGGTGCAGCCCACATGGCATGCGTCCTGCTGGTCATTTTGCGGTTCGTTTGAGTCCGGTCTTCGAAAGCGCTGAGTGTGGCCGCCCTGGCCTTCACACAGGTTGCTGGTGTTGGATGTCAGCTTCAACGAGCTGGGCGCCATGGATGGCGCTTGGAAGGCCCTGGCCGCGATTCCCAAGCCACTCAGCAACCAAGTGACGAGCCCAAGGGCTTTCGCTGACTGTTTTGAACAGAGTTCACGTGGGACCCGTTGGACCCGCATGTTGGGCCTCCAATCGCGAGTGGACGAGCGGTGTGGAGTGGAATCCAGTGGTTTGCCCGAGATTTCGGGGAGCGGACCTGGTCATCATCAGGCCTACTGTAACTCTACAAAGGGAGAGGAGGGATGGAATTCGACACCTTTAGGAGGACATCAGCCTACCAAGCTTGAGCAGCTGAAGTCTTGAAGCGAAGCTCCGCAGAGGCAGAGAGTGCGACCAAAGTTGCAGCGGTGTGCAAGAACGACACGTCCAAGTTAGGGTGCTTCTAGTGTACTTTTCGAAGGAAGAACCGGCCCCATGGTGACACCAATTTGTATGAATCGATTTATACATCTTCACACCACTTGATTGAGGTGATGTTGAACCATGTTGAACCAAATGCCTGTGACTTGTAACAGGTCCTTGTCACATTGGGTGACTTCATGTGACTTCCAAAATAGCTCCAGCTTCCTCGCTCCAGCGTTCCTCGCTCCGCTTCAGGCTTCAACGCTTGGTGGCCGAGGGCTGCCGCATCCAGAGCTTCGAGGAGCTCCAGGAGATGCCCCAGTTGCGCACCTTAGCACCTTGGCCAGTGAGAAGACGAAAGACCCGATTGACGAGATCAGTGGGTTAGTCATCCTTGGCGGAGGGCCTGTCGCCTTGCAGGCGTCTTCACGCGTAACCCGCGGTTCTGAACGCGGGTTCTTGCGCGTCTTCTCCTTCCATCTCCTACCAAAAAAGACGCCTGTCCGAACCCGAAGAAGCGCCCGAGATGTGTCAAGACCGAACCTGGTCCATCATCCTTCGCCCACCCGAAGACATCTTCGATCCCGAATGAACCGCTCCGCGTCAGTTCGAAGACGACCGAGCCGTTGGGATCGATCGATTGGTCGGATCGGGGGAGGGAGGGATGAACCCACTCCGACGGGTGCAGCGGCGAAGAACCGAAGAACCGGCTTGAGCGAAGGTCTGGACCGGGGACACCCAAAAAGGCCCGAAACCGAGGGGACCGAGGTCGATACACTCGGTCTTGATGCCGATCCCTTGGACGGTGTAGATGTTAACAGGGCCCCTGGTACCTACAGAGGTTAAGTGACCTGAACTAGGACCCTACAGGGGTACCTATAGGATAGTCTATAGGGTTCTTCAACCTCTGCTGGTAGGCTGGCATTTGGCTTGTGTTTGATGCTGCATGTTCCATAGTCGATCCATCTACAGAACGGTAGTGCGAGCTGCCTATTCAGATGTTCAGATGTGGGTCTCAGGATCGTTTGCGTCTTGGGCCGTCTTTTGGCGTTTCCTGACATGTGTCAGGCATGAATGGTTTCAAAACAGGAACATGGATGCAGCTGGATAGTTGAAGTGGGTCCTTGACCCCTGCAAGTTGCAATGGAATTAGACCATGGCCCATCGAACCAGCCTCCAACACCCCATCGACCCTGTGAGGAAGTCAGCGACAACGCCGCCCGGATGGTACCAGCGCTCGCGTGGGGGACTATTATGCGGGGGAAGCCAAAAATGGACCAGGAGTCACATTGGAGTTGGGTGGTTTTGGGTCCCCGTGAGCTGTGAGTGGATGTGACATGACGTTCGGGGCACCTGCACTCCTTCCTCCGGAACCGGAACCGGCACCCCTTACGCATCCCCGAGCTCTGGTCACTCCTGGGGGGTGATCACTTGTGAACATGGATGCATTTGGGCCACGCTCGGATGGTACAACACTGTACACCATCACTTAGAATCACTGTTCGATCCTGGAGGTGCAACGTTGGTGCCAATCTGGCACGTTCTGATTGAACATCCAGGTAGCGGTTCGGACTTCCAAGATCAGCTGACAAACTAGGCAGAGGAAAGACTTGGCAAGTCAGTCTCTTAGAGGCCTTGGCACTTGCCACAAAGGCCAGAAGGCTAAGTCTAAGTCCTAAAAGGCTTGGTTTCTCAGCAGTGAATTGGTGGAAAGACGTCACAGAGCCACAGATGAGTCAGTTTGATAGCCTCCCCAAAACGAAATTTGCAACCTATTTCGAAGAATGAAGAAGTTGTGTGCTTTATTTCTACCGGACTGTAGTTGGCGGTGTGTCCCACATTGGCAATCACACCAATTCGGTTCCCAGTGCCCAACCTAAAGATCCATCTATAACCATATATACCTCCATCTTCCCATATCTTCCCAGCTTTGACCCCCGAGCCCACCTTTTTATGGCTGCCTTTGTTGGGTGTTGCCCCCCTTCACCGTCTCCGGTCTCAAAACGAAAAACGACGCGAAAAACGTCGGTCGTCGGCGTTTCCGGCGGGTTTACCGGCCGACGGCTTTGGGCAGTTGCTGGAAGACCTCGAAGAGTTGGACGTCTTGGCTGGAAAGTGCACCTCCCTGGTGGAGCTCGACTTCAGCACCTTGGACCACCTGATGGTGCCGCCAAGTTGTTGGGCAGGATGGATGGTGATGGATGGTGATGGATGGTTTGCGGTGCAACAAACGAAAACATCCATCTTAGCGGGCTGATATAGGCTGATCAAAAGAAACAACAGTGGTTCTTCTGGGTCGTCGTGCTGAAACACAGCATTTGGCGCTGGGATTGGAGGTGTGGGAATGTTGAACGGGCAGCTTAGCAAGATATACATATATCTCATGATATACTACCTCCTTAAAACTAGGCTTCCTGGCCCACCATTGATTTAGTGGTTCTTACCGAACAACCATTGTTTCATATGGTTTACTAACTGCAAGAACAGGCCAACCATTTTGTGAATGGTCGATCGGAAGGCAAACGGACAAAAGAGTGCAGTTTCTGAAAGAAAGGGAAAAGGTCATTCTGATTCCCTCGGCACCTGGATCAGATGCCAAATCTATCCAAACGACCCATGTATAATAACCTACAGCCGCCACCAAAACCGCCAAAACACACCAAATGTCGGCCATATTGATCGTCTGGGAATGATCACTGTTTGCGGCCCCCCACCCTGTAACAGTCCGGAATCAGTCGGCCACTTCTTTCCCACGGAGTCGGTTTTGGAGAACATGTTTTCAGTGTAAGCCCTGCTGCGTTTGTCCGTCCTTCTTTCCGAGAGTCAATATATCATCGTGTCCCCAAAGCAAAAACTTATGCGCATGGATCTAACTGGCTGACAAGGGCTTCCTTTGTATATTCGATGACTTTCCTTGCTACCCCTCGAAGTCCTTGCGGAGTGAAAATCGGCATGTCCAGCAAGTTGAGGAGAGAACGAAGCTTGGGAAAAGCCCGGATACGCCAAGAAGATTGACCAGCTTTTTCCCAATCTCACTTGGCCTCTTGGCACTTCATCCGGAGCCCGGTCAGAGAGGGTCGGACCGAAGGTTGATGGACTTCCCAGTCAAAGACGACCAACCTGGACCCGACTTCACAGGTGTTTCCTGCATGGTGACAAGTCCGGTGCCCAGTTTCACCACCTGTGGTCGGGTCTCCATCTCCAGCCTGGCCAGGAGGGTCCTGGAAAAGAAGGGTCTGACGAGTTTGGGGCCATGAGTTAGGGAGCTGACTGAAGAATCGGTCAAAGTGGGTGGGAGCTTACTGAAGAATCGGTCAAAGTGGGTCACCTACCAAACCTTGTTGGGGCGATTGGAGACACCTCAGACACCTTACTCAAAAAGAAAATAGGTGGAAAAAGGCTCAGGGAAAAGTGAGGGAGTCAGTTAGAAGCTTCACCTATTGACTGTTGGTGTGTGAAACTCCTATAGACGTGACCATTTGGGCCGCCCATCGCCTAAGGCTGGACAACCAGTCGCGGAAGAAGTATGTGTCGGATGCCAAGAGGGGTGGAGGCCTATGGCATCTCCCGGACACGACTGGTGGGACGGCCATATTTGCCTCAATATACATTGGGGGTGCTTTGAGGGGTTCAAAGGGGCGGCATATATTCCAGTCCCAGGTCGTGTTTGGGTGTTGATGCCAAAGGCGCAGGGGGCCACTGAGCTCTTCTCATGTTGGCTGCTGGAAAAGCGATTGGCGTGGGGAAGTGCAGATGTACTCGCACATGCAGTAATTACATACTACATCATACTACGGTTGCTACACAGTTGCTACACACTGCAGATAGGACACGCGCTTTTCTTGAAAACTCGTAGCATTCTTGCTCCGAACTCGAGTCGCGATGCCCTGAGGAATCCGTTCGTAGCTTCTTGTTCCGTTCGCAGCCAATGCGTTCGGAGCGGCCCGTTCGGTTCGCGGCCCGTTCGGTTCGGTTCGGTTCCCGAGGGCGAAAGGAGCGGAGGCCACCTACTCGGCCGAGACCATGCGCGAGAAGGAGGTCGCGGCGGTGGATGGTGCCTCGAACGGTGGTTTGAAGGGCGGTTTAAAGCAGGGGGGGCAGATGGGTGCAGCGGGGTGGGGTGATGAGGTGTTGATATTTTGTGACTTACAGAAATCAGCAGGCTTGCATGTACGGGGCGGAACGGCTGAAAGGATGGTAAATGTCAAACTTGAGCATGGAAGAACTTAATATAAGTGCATGACTGCTAGTAGCAAGAAGCTACTAGTAACAAGGTGCATCGCTACCAGGAACAAGTGCACTAGTAGCAAATAGCTATACTAGTAGCTTCTTGTTACTAGTAGTAATGCACTTGTTACTAGTAGCTTACACTGTATCTTTCCACCTTTGGGCCTTCCGCACTTCCAAGTCCAGTCGACTTGGTAACTTGCCCAAGGTATGTTCAAGAATGAGTCCTGCTCTTGCATTGAAGGCCGGTGTCGTGGGGCAGGCGCCGTCCGACTTGCGATCCGTTGGGGGTGAATACATCAGAAGTTCGAAGAAAGAAGACCCACCTGGGCCAGGACGGGGCAAGAATGGGGAGAATGGATAGCAGCACCTCCCTCAGTCCTTTTGAAGGTTTAGTTCTGTTTGTCAAGCTCTTCAAACCATTTATATACTACCTCATTAAGAACAGCCAGATGTGCACCCAGCTGACCGCAACTCGCCCCACCGGATTGCCAGACGTCGTTTCAGGCAACCCGTGCCTGGACCGAGCGACCTGCAAAGACTGGGCCAACCGCGAGAAGGCATCGGCCTGGCAGGGTTGCAAGGGCCAGTTCTGAGTTCTGCGTCGCACGGCCACTGCATTCGGCCCTGGATCGCACCTCTAAAATGCCCTTTTGAGCGAAGGGGTGCAGATTCCAAGATGGTCCAAACTGAGCATAGCCACCCTCATGAGGGAACTCACGAGTTTCCCGGGTGACATCAATCTGAATCGACACTGGGGTTGTAGGGTGTGCCATCTAGTCGGAATCTGCAGAAGCACTTCTGTTTGGGATCAATTGTCAGTCCATCAAGGACCATGAGGCAAAACCTCTTCAGCTCGATTCTTGCGGTTGGGAAGCTCTCGTCTCGACTTAGAATCCGGTGAACCCACAGCAGACTTCCTACCCCAGGAAAAGTGGGTCACCATGGGTAACCATGGGCAACCTTCCACTGTTTGCTACTAACTAGTAGTACGGCCAGGAGCCCCGTTCGTAGCGTCCTTGTTCCTACCCCCCCATTGTTCAGCCAGAACTTGGCTCCAGTTCCTTCCTTCCTCCGATGTTCCATGCCCCATGCCCATCCCGACCCCCTGCAAGCCGAATGAGCCTTGGAATGGGCTTCTCTCGCAGAAATGCCAGCGCCAAGGGAATCTGGAAGAGGTTGAAAAGGCTCACTAGTAGGTATTTTGATGTATTTTGAGAAATTGAGCCAGCAGTTCCAGGTCGGATTGGTGTTCAATCCCATCCGCCAATGGGCATGTTGTAGTACGTTTGGCGCACCTTTCTCTCAGACAATGTGGCGCGCACTCAAAAGTATGCAGGTGGCAGCCGAAGCTCGCAAGAAGAAGGGCTTACGAGATGATACAGGCCCGCTGGGGGATAGGTAGATCGCTGTTGGATTGACCTGTAACTGTTAAACATCACATCAGATTCTTTGGGTTTCGGTGGCCCCTCCAAATTTGCCCCCTCCTTGGCATCATATTTGCCATGCACACCAAAAGGAATCCAGCGCGAATGGAACCCCAAAATCAGCATCTATGCCTATCCGTACAGGGCTCCAGTCGTAACCGAACCTGAGGTTCAGTGGGACTGGAGGCCGGGTGCCATCTTCGGGTCCAGTCATCACTTCGTTTCGGTTTCCGCAACCTCCTGGAGCCCGACAGGGCGGAGCCGCGTTTGAGATCACGCGATCACGCGGATCACGTCGAAGAATCGGGGGTCACCTCCGGTCCGAATGCGGGGCGTGTGGTCCAAAAAGACGCGCTGGACCGGCCTGGCTTTGTAGTGCAAAATCCTTTGTGTAAGTAGTGCAAAATCCTTTGTAAATGGTTCTTCAGGGAGAACGGTGGACCTGGCTTTTGCTAGTACAAAAACTAAACATGCGTCTTTTTTGGGCAAAGGATGTTGGAACAATGGTTGTTGGAATCGCAGGGTTAGCTATCGTCTTAAAGTAGCACTTGCCACTTGAGCTGATCGCGCACTTCTCGACGGGTCTTATCCTAGAGCTGCACCTTTGCCAGGCAAGATCCTCTGACGCGTGAAGAACACGCCAAAGGCGAATTCACGCAGGTTCGTGGGGCATGAGCAGGCACAGGTCCAAGCGGGTCAACAGGCGCTCGAAAGAAAAATCAAGTTTGCCAGAGGCTTCAAGTTCCAGGACCACGAGTTCGGGTGGTTGATGGACACCCCTGATGGACTGCATTTTTCAGTCTAATTAGCACCCGGTCACCACCCCTTCCGTGGTCCTGGTTTGCATTGGCACCGATTTGCACGGAGGTGTTGACACTGGATGTGCCCCTCATGTCTTCGGCCGCGATGGGCGCTGATCGGTTTCAAGGATCAGCGAAAAACCTGGTCGGGGCACTTTGCCGGGCAGCTAGCGATGGTTCATGGGCCCCTGCTTTGAAGATGTGGACAGGTTGGATCATTTGAGACGTTCGGTGAAGCAAAGAAGAGTGAGTCATATGGTTGACAGGCTGTCCCCTGATCGCTGGAGCTGAGCTGCATGTGCCGGTTTCACACCTTAGGTTTTCAAGGGATTCACCTCGAGGTGACCTGCAACAACTTGATCGTCAACATGCATCAATCAATATATCAATCTGATGGGTTGCTGGGCTCTCCAAGATGGGGGTTTCGACCCCTACAGTGCAACACCAAGAATGGGTGGCGAGCACCCAAGAAACTCACAAGTGAGGGTCTTCAAAGAGTGGAGATATTAGATGACCACATGATTTGAACATGCTCCACACCCCCTCGGATAAACCAACCTACGTAATTCATTTTGTTCCGATCAAAACGGAGGTCAACGCTTGGACTGCTTAGAGTCCCGGGGTGGTGTCCAAAGCGTTTCAACACTGTCTGACTCAAGTGGAGCCAGCTTCGTCACCGGCCAGCTTCGCACGGGCCGAGAAATGTGCGAACGATCATGAGAACATCATTGGATCGTTGGGGAGAGGCTCTCGTTGGGGAACGCTGGAAAGTTGCTGGGATGAGTTGAGGAGCTGGAAGGCGTTGTGAAAGAATTCCCCCGGTGGTGTCCAACTTGGAAGGCTCTTGGGGGCTTTTAGCCGATGTTTGTCCGTCGCAGACAGTCTGACAAACAGGCGTGCTTCGCCTCCCAGCTTGCAGGGTCAGGGCTTAGGAGGCTTGAAAACTTGACACGCAGCGGAAAAACTCTGCCGCCTTTCTAGCTGATTTTGGAAGAACTCTTCAATGGAACAAGTGGGGAGTGTTTGTTTTGTGCACCCCGCTTCTTTATTGTGCAAAGTGCGGTCCAGCCAATGACGTCCCACTGAAGTGGGCGAGTTTCCTTGAGTAAGTCCTTGGTCTCAGCAGGAGAGAACATATGGATGCCCTGTCATTTGCATAGTGAGCATCGCCTCATACCCCTCATTCAGTGGTGCATAGCTTTCCCTACAAGTCAATGACCTCATTTTACTGGAGTTGGTCATACAAAAAACACCATTCAAGAAGGTAAAGGAATAGGTTTGACTGGGTCAGACTGGACTTGTTGGGTTTGGTATCGGGCAAAGGGATCATCGAGAGTCCCATCTTCCATGAGGATTTCAGGGAGTCTTTCCCCGGCTGATGTTCCAGTGGAGTGCCGAGCGAACCACGAGGCGAACGAGTGCATTGATGAGTAAAAGTAAAATTAGTAAAAGAAAAACTCCAGGAGATGCTTGGCCATCTGCTAGGTATAGGTCGATTCACATGAATCAAGAATCAGCATTACCAGGGCTGCCTCAGATGCTCGGGCACCAGGGAAAGCGCCCCGTCCCCACTACCCCCTAGACCTCTCCTGGCCTGTGAGACTGGTGGAGCCATGTGGAGCCTCCCAGGTCCCTGCAAATACCGCGGGGGCGGACGCCGGGACATCGGCGACGTGCGCGACCCCGGCGACAGACCGGACCGGACCGGTTCCGTCGCGGGACGCAGCACTGGACCGGTTCGACGGAGGGTCTGACGAGGTCACCTGGGTCGGTTTTGGTCGGTGTGGTGCGCCTGGAGCGAAGCCGTAGAGTCCAACGTTTGGGAAGGCCAGTGGAAAACGCGCGCCAAAAAAACAGTTCAACACATTCACCTGTCCATGGATGTCCATGGGCGTCAACACAGTCACACCAGGTCTAATGAGCGGACGGACTTGCGGTCGGAGAGCCTCCGGTAGTGCCTCCGGTTCTTGGGTCCGTCGGCATATGGCTTACACTCCCGAAAACTAAAATAGACCCTGACAATGGTCCCATGGAAGACTATTTTCCTCTACCAACCAGGGGTTTTCAGGTTCCATGTTAGTCTTCCAGAGTGTATTATGGCTTCCATGTGTTACATCAACTGATGCGCAGCATTCGGCACTGCAGCACCAATCAGGAATGAAGCTAGATGAGCAGTCGGCTCATTGAGCCTAAACCCATGCTTGACTCCTTGATGCCTGTGGCACTTCCTAACTGCCCTTGAGATCCCTTGAGTATTTGCCTATGAATCTGGTGGGGTTGACCCCCCTATAATATAGGAGGGCATGCCTTTTTCGACAAGAGGAGATTGATTTTTGGTCAACTTTGTATGAGTTTTGATTCTTGCAGGATAATGAAAGCTACATAAAAGCCAGGAAGCTTGGGATAATCCAGTTCACCCAAGATTTATATAATAGTTTTGGTGAGAAGGGAAGTTCCAAACTTGTATTGCTGGATTCACGTTACCACGTTGCAGCTGTCTTCGCTGCACTTCGGTCAACTCCACACCACTGAAATTGGGCAGACTGGCAAACCAAACGCAAAGCAAGTTCGAATTCATCCGGCGAATCTGAAGACGCGCCCAACAAAACCCAACGGGGGCTCCACTTCGCAGCACCCCACAACAACCCCTCCACGCTCCAAACACGCGCACCCAACCCTCCACGCCCGGTCGCCGTCCGCGGCCCAGTCCACGCCCGCCCTAAGGCGTTGGTGGATCCGGAGACACGGGCCGGGGAGCGTGGCGCGAGACGGGGGGATGAGACCGTGGGAGACGTAGGCGGAAGGATGGAGATGGAGCTTGGAGCTGATGGAGATGCTTGAGTCTCTGTTGGATGCGGATGGAAGGAAGTAACATCCAGAAGAAAGGCAACAGAATCGCTCCGGGACAGCTGGGAGTGATGGTTTCGGGTGCGACCGGTCCCAAGAACGAATCAAGAATATTCAAGAATTCTGCGAGTGGAGTTAACCACCCAACCCTGAGTGCATGCACATCATTCATATCTATATATATATATACATCATTCCGAACTTGCTGTTGGATGGGGTCTCTCTTGGACGATGCTTGACCCCTCTTGCGCAGGTCCACCATGTAGCGAACGACCTTCCAGGCAGGTCAACCAAGGCATCAGCCATGTCAGGCTGGATACCGGAGCAGCAAATACTTCGGCGAGAAAGGCCTCGAACTGAGCAGAGATGATGCTGCCGATGATGCGAACGTCGTGACCCGTGGTGACAAAGACACTTCTGGGTGTAGAGGTGGTGTTTCAAGGCTTTGGGTTTCTGGATGAAATGATATCATGTCAAAATGCTTAAAAATGTGTTCGAATGATTTCGACTGAGAGGATTCGCAAAGGTTTGATGATATGTGTGGGGATCTCCTGTAAAACACTGTAAGGACGATTGAACAGTTGGTTGTTGTGCTTTGTTTCGGGTGGGGGCACCCTGCTGTCAACTAGCTGGTTTTAGAAAGACACCCAAGCTGCGCTGCCCCAAAGGCAGCAGGAGAATCACGACAGATTCCGGAGTCAAAGGCATGTTGAGACACTGGTAAGAAGTGACCAGCCGCTAGTGACACCGGAAAACCGAACTTCAGAACTTCTGCAGAACTACCGAACTGACATCCTTTGACAATTAAAGGCTCTTCGAAACGGTGAACCCGCTTCTGAAACGCTCGAACCCACGAACCCCGCCGGGGGTCCACGGCCGACGACTCCGAAGGCGACGACTCCGTGGATCGTCCGGGGAACCGAGCGCGACGCGCGAGCGGGACAGGAGGATCGACGAAGAACGCGAGCGTCGTTGCTTTTTGGTTCATACTTGGGTCCACTTTCAGCCCTCATCATCTTGCGAGCTCTGCTCGTCTTCCCCTTCATCCTCCTCCTCTGGCCCTTCCCCCTCTTCACCATCCGTATGAGCTTTGGAGAGGCGAGAGTTAGTTGAAAGGGAAGCAAGTACTGAAGAGTGGTCCGGCCTGAGGTTGGGCGGTTCTTGAGAAGCACTTCTGATATCGTGGTCAATGGGGGTCATAGAAGATGTGGTCGGCGTAGATGTAGTCTTCCTTTGCACTCTTGCCCCCACTCTCAAGGAAGATGTCCGGTCGACTTTCCCGAACCTGGATTCTGCTCCTTAGCCATGACTTGTGGAAGACACCATCACCAACCACTCAGCAACCGCAGCGTGGTAAATACTTTGCTTTGATAGCTTCAGAACATCCAGAGCAAGACGCAACTTTGTTAATTGAGCACGCGAGCACGCAGTATGTTTCCCCCAGTTGAGTTTGAAGGCGAGCCCTCTAAAGCTGCAGTCAGAAGATGTCATATATGTGTTTGTGATGTTGAATTTGTTCGGAAAAAAACACTCCAACGGCTGCAGCCCACTGCTTACCTTCAAGAAAACTCCAAGCTGCACCCTTGATGACATGAAACATATTGAAACCTCCTCATGAAGTGAGTGATCCACGGTCTCAGTCCGAAGGTGGAGGCAGACGGGTCTCATCACAGCTTTCGTTGGTTTCGCCCGCCATGTGGACGTCCACCGGGCGAGTGGACACTTATTCGACACATGAGATCCGTGACCCTCTGGCGGCGGCCGTGGACCCTGCCAGCGGCGAGGTCTATGTCTTGTTGCGCAGCTTGGGAACCATGTGAGTGAAAAACGATGAACAACGTGTGGTCATGTTTTGCTTGGAAAATGCTAAGGATGTAGCAATGTGTGGCATGTTTTTTTGAGGAAGACTTTGGACCAACGGCTCCTGAAACAGTCTTGAGAAAATGGAGGGTCCAGGATCCACGGAGCAAACCATGGGATCACCGCTCCGCCGATCGAGAGAGGTCCAGTTCAACAAGTTTTTGACTCGAATCACCTGTACATAGTCAGACCATATCCCAGACGCTCCATGTATACCATATATGCCTACATTGGGTGGTTTGGGGGGTCAATGTAGGCATATATTCCATACATGGAGTGTATGGGTATGTAAGAACAGTCTTGGACCCCTCAAGGGGATATTGGACGTCTTTAGCGGTCAGAGGAATTCTCTGAGCTCATCCCCTCTGGTCATGTGCAGACAAAGTCCATCCGTTCCCTGAGGGAATCGCCTCATGCGCATCAGCGACACGGAAGAAGTCTTTGAGGTGCCGGGCGCGGAATCCTTGGAGGCGTTCTTCACCCCAGGAGCAGGCAGGACATGTGAGATCAATATTTTGGGATTGGTGGTCCGCGCTGAACAGAAACCCAGTCCTTGAAAGAAATTCCTTGCTTTCCGCACCGCTTCCGGGTCTTCTGGTAGCGGTCAGCTGGTGTAAAGCAGCGGTTGGTGTACAACGACCGCGCAGGGGGGGGGGGTCCTTCCGGTCTCGACGTGGTCCTTCTTCCGGTTTCGTCGGACCTCTGACGTCCTCCACCTGCTGTGACAGCCGGATCGAAGGTCTTTGGGTCGATGAGGTCGACATTGCGCCGCGCTGGTCTCCGAAGGGCATGTGCTGATTGTGGGTGCCAACAAGCTACTCATCGTCAATGGCCACAGCAAAGAGGCGCCAAACAAAAGATGTAGCAGGCGGCAAGCATGTGTAGCAAGATGTAACAAGCTGCTGGAAGCTGCGCCGTGAAAGTTTATTGATTGATTGTTGCTTGTGTCTTGTGTGGCAGTCGCATCCAGAGTTTTTAAAGCAGGATCCAGATGAATCCAGGTGAATGTAGGTGGCGCATGATGTCGGTTTGGTACCAGGCGAGGGCCGTGGAGGACGCCCGATGGCATTTGTGCGCAGCAGATGGCGCCAAGATCCTCCTGGCAGACAAGGACTGGCGAAGCAGATGTGATTGATGGGACAGTTCGACTGGGTTCATCCCGGTAACATATGGTAGCATCTTGGTGCGAATGTCCAGTGATCTTGATTTCTTTTTGGTGACAGAGGTGTGTGGTCCATGTTCACCAGGAGGGCGACCAGTTCTAGAATGTTCTAGATTCTATATAGATTATTCTTTCACTTTTTTCATTTACCACTAGGTTCTGCCGCACAGCCCCTTCTACTTCAATGGCACTGAGTGCCAGACTGACCCACCACGCTACCTACATCAGACAGGACGGCTCAGTCCATGCAGCTGAGCACCCGCTGTCCCATGCGTCCTTCCCGGGCAGCACCACAGTGATCTGCCAGTGCCCGGGTAGTCACAGCAAGATTGATGCCAACTGTATCGGTCAGGTGAGGTGGGACTGGGGACTGGGGACTTCTTACCTTTTTCTTGTGAAGCGTTGTTGGCAGGTTTTGAGGTGAGCACTCACCAAGTGCAATTATAGCGAGAAAGATGAGAAAGAATGATTTATGATGTATTTACAGATCTCAAGAATCAACATGGGCGCATACTCTGTGATATAGAGATTGGAAGAGTGTCAGGGTTGCGCGCTTGACCGGGGAAATGGGTGAACCCTAGCTGCGAGGCTGCTAGGTAGCAAAGTGGCTGCCACCGCAACCCGAGCTTGAGCTTGCTGGTTGGGAGCAACTCTTGAGCTTGAGCTTCATGGGAACCATGAGTATTTTTCGCGCGCGACTTGCTTTGTCCCAGCATGTCGCCCCAAAATCCTCTCAGTGGCTGGACTGTCCTTCACATGTCCCAAGAAAAATTGTTTCTTGTAGTCGCTTCTTGTTCCTAGTAGTAAGGCCAGGAGCGCCCCGTTCGTAGCGTCCTTGTTCCAACGTGGCTCCCACGTGCTCTTCGACCAACCGCCTCGCCTCTTCGACCAATCGCAGGTGGAGGATTTCGTGCAGCAGAACCGCGTGATGCGGCCGCGCGATTCTGGCTCCGTGATCGCGGCCTTGGCGGCGGGAAACGGCCAGGTCTTTCTTTGCACCTCGGCGGTCAAGAGTCAGGGGGTGAAGACCTGGGACATCCAAGCGGTCGGGATCCTTCGAGTTAAATGGTATGTCATGTCCATTTGGGTGGGCAATTGGACGGTCCATGTGTGTATAGAAACGATGGATCAACTCGTGAGCATACAGTACTCATTCCGTCGTTCTTCCCGCCACGTCATCTCGAAAGCCGCGGCGACATCGGCGGAACAGGTAAAGGCCACGGCTTGATGGTGGCCGGCGACAGCGGGTCGCTGGAAGCCCGGCAGGGTTGATCTCGGGGCTCCGAAGGGGAACCGTTGCTATTTGGTTCCAGCCCTTTAGGTGATTCTGCGGGTAATCCATGGTGGTGGGTGCGAAATCATGGGCCAACATGGGCCTGTGGTGGGAGTGAGCCTGTGGTGGGCGTGCATTCTGCCTTGGGCTTGGCACAGCATCCCCCAGAAGTTGGCGCCAAGAGCCGAAAAGTCTTCGCCTCGCCTCGCTAAGTAGACGTGGGAAGCTGGCTTTTTTTGCCGCGGAAGTGGTTTGATGTGGTTGGGCCATTTAACAAGTCAGACCGAATAAGAGCAAGGAAGGATGCCATCCATTTCTTTGATGAGCCTAAGATTTGGGATTTGGATGGATTTGGTGCTCATAGGTTTGAAGAAAAGCCTCCCACTTAATCCAGGTGGACGAAGCAGTCCTTTGCGTCCTTGACGCCCCGTTGCGTCATCACTCCGACACACATCACAAGGAAGTGGAAACCATGGTCCTCCAAGTATACACCCCTTTCCTTTGAAAACAGTCAGGGGAGGTGAACAGTTGCCCATTGCCACGTTCCACCTTGAGTCAGTGTAGACTTTCCCACGAGCTCATCGCATGAAGCAGCTTCACTCATCACAGTCGCATCATCGCTGCATCCGACGGTCTCGTCAGCTCAGGAAGAGGTTCTCAAGGATGAACGGTCTTCGAAGTCCTTGGCGTTCCCTTCTGCTTTGTATTTGGTGGGGAGCACGCTCTTCTCACAATGCGCCACTTAGGCTGCAGGACGGACAGGCTAATTTAGTTATGGATCATTGTAATTCATATTATGTAGATACTTCATATATATAATCAGATACTTCATTTGTACGAAAGCGGCCGTCCCGAGGGTAAGGAGCACTTCCTTGGACATTCCTTGGCACTTTCTGGGAGCAGACCGGGCGGTCGTGAGTTTGTTGGGTGATGTGGCATTGGGTGATGACGGTGATGATCATGTACAGTAGACCATTGATTAATGACCTCCCCATACCTCCCCATTTGAATTGGAAAATCCTCTTCATTTGGGCGGCTTATGAATCAAGAGTCTAACGGGGCGAGAAAGAACACCTGAGTGAGTTCCAATGGGGGAGAAAACCCAAGAACAGGTGTGGGCTCATGAATTCAGCACACCATGAAGAAAGAGTAGTTCTTCATATATAGTTCTTCCGAAGGTCAGCCAGTTGACTGAAAGTGCAAAGGGTTGCCAGTTTGTGGGGCCAATGACCTAAGACTCTGGTGACTCAATGAGATGCGCAATCGGTGACGTGGAAGGCAGTTCATGTTCGGTTTGCTGACAAGTGATGGTTTCGGAGATTTCTATGTTCAACCTTTACATGGGATTCAACCCACTGACTAGCGTTCTTTTTCAAGTGAGTCGAATCCACCAACCAGTTTGCTGTTGTCTCGTGCTGCTTCACCTTGCATCTCATCACGAAAGAGAAGAAGTGACAAGCCAATTGAGGGGTCAGTATACTTTACATTAATATCACAAACCAGCATAAACTATTATACAAAACAGCACAAACCAGCATAAACTATTTACATTAATATCACAAACCGCACGACGCAATAACGACCTGATTCTCAACAGCAGTTTGTCCTGTTCCTTGCAGAGATTAATGGCGCGGCCAAATTCACGTTTGAGGTATGTATTGCTACAGGCTTACAAGATCTTGGAGGCAGAAGTCCGGGAGAAAGACAAATTGAAGGAGTTCTTGAGCGTCCTAAGGAAGCCAACTGGACCCTGCCCGGAGCATTTTCTCGATCACATGCTCAGAGGCGCAAAGGGTGCGAAGCACTTTCCAGATGTGGACCTTGATGATCCCCGACAGCTTGCCGACATCTTCCACAGCTTCTTCCGACGTTTCCTGGACAATATCCCTCCCATTGAGAAAGGTCGCAGCTGGCATTACCTGGGCAAGTTCTCCAAGGGGCCAATGAAAGGCAAAGTGTTTTCTTTCAGGACAGACAAAGGTAAGGGTGTATTGATAAACGGGTTTGAACTGGTGGATAAAGACCACTGGGCGTATACTCATTTGGACGTGGACATCAATAACCTGAAGCGTTACTGTCACAGAGCTTCTGATGCCCTGCTGCCTGGTCGAATCGGTGGAGGGTTTGGTGCTGGATTAGGCGGCTATTGTGCTGAGCAATTGTACCACAGGATCTGTGCTGACTTTGATCATCAGATCAGCCAAATTGAAGCGGTTTCCATGCAGATCGGGAGAGCTGCATCAATTCCAGTTGGCATCACGGTGGGCGGAAATGTGGCAACATACTTTGCAGGCTTGCAGAGTGTCTCCATGCTTGGCCCAGTGAAGTTTCAAATGTGTGCTTTGCTTGCGGGTAGCGGAGCTGGATTTTTGGTCGGTGCTGCCATCACCGGTGGATCAGCTGTGGTTGGTTTAACTGTGGACACAATGTGGCGAGAGACTGCAGAATGCTTAAAGTTGGCACAGGCGGCAAAGGAACGCTGTGTGCAACTCCAAGGGCATGTTCAGACAATCCAGCAAGACATGACGTTGAGGTTGAACGCCATCGCTTCTGACATTGATTCAGTGGAGCGCATGGTTTGCAATGCGCAGCAAACCCTCAAAGCTGGCATGAAATCTGAAGAGGAGATTCTGCAGTGGATCGGTGTTGGTCAGGCAGGAAAACTTGTACTGCAGCACATTCTTTTGGCCATAGAAAAACTTGAGGAGGACATCTACAAGCACCTTCAGTGCCTGAGGGATGAGCATGCTAAAACTGAGCAAGACTTGAGAGCAGCAGTGAGACGTCAGGAAAATGATGACAACCCGCCAACACTTGTTGCTTTCCTGTGGTCAGCTCCCCTTTGCCTCTTCGGGCCCGTGGGGATGTGTGCTACGGCATTGTTCACTGGCCTTTCCGCCGCACGAAAATATAGCCTTCAGAACGCAATTGATTACCACGTGCGCACCTGTGCCTTGTTGCAAGAGGCTATGAAGCAGCTCAAAAGCGCCACCGGCACATGTGCCAAGAATCGCAGGACATGTTGCGATTTGATTGAGAAGATTGAGTATGCCCTCGACCGTTGGTATGCCAGGCTCCACCGGGTGACTGGGGCAAGATTGAATGATACGCGGTTTTGGTTGTACCTCATTTCGGTCTTTGTCTTGGCGTGTGCATTCTCACACTCTTGGCTCTCTTCTTGTCTCTGGTCATTACTACTGTGGTGGCCTTCGTTTTCTGTTCATGTCCAATGGCATCCAGCAGCTTGCTGGAGGTTTGTCCTTGTTTTTCTTCTTCGTTACATTCCGTTTGTTTGCGTTGACAAATTCAGCGACCACCCAATAGTTTCATGGCTAGCATCCCTGTTTGCAACTCTGTTTGCAATATACTTTTTGTGGCCTTGCATCCCAGTTCCAATGACATGTTGCAAGTGGTGGAAATACCCAAGAGCTCCGATGCGTCGTCAAGTTTGCTTGGTTGTGGCAGGCCTCCTGGCAGGCCTCCTCTCGCTGGTGCGCTCAGAAAACCAGCAACCCATGATTCATCCCTTGCTTGCTTTTTCAGTGCCATTGTTTTCTCTTTGGCCTTACTGCTCACTTCACATGTGGTTGAACTGGGAATCTCTTTGGCATTTGTTTTCTCATTTGCTCGTAGGTTTGATACTGTGCTGGATCCTGCCCAAAAGTTTCGTTGATGTGTGGCTTTGTTTCGTTTGTACATCGGCTTTTGCCCCCAGACGGCAAGACGCAAAATTTGAGGAAAGCTGGTTTGTCCGAAATATCATCCCAGCCTACTAGATTAGATTTGATCAAAAGCCAAAGCAGACCGCCACGTCATCGCATTTCACTCAAGGCATCGGCTATGAACTTGAGGAAAAATGTGCTGAGAACGCTGGGTTTTCTCCTTCGGTTGACATGGGAAGATTTGGGCATGTAGATTGCCAAATCGCCAGGCATGCTGCGACTTCGGGGCCTTCCTGAGCGGCTAAGGGGTTCCAGGAGGATACAGGAGGTATCAGGAGGTTGTGGTCATCAGGAGTGTTATTTCATTGTTTTGGTGACATTTGGGGACCTATTGTAGACTATTTCTGTATCATACACGCATTTTTTCGACAACAACTGCAGAATGAAATCCGATTGAATGACCGCCTGACGAACCCGCCGAGCACCTTCGAAAGGCTTGGAAGTGCAATTCCTGACAGTCCACGACTCAAATTCACTACCCCGGCCTGGGGATTAGGTGGAAGAAACTATATTGACTAACACGCAAACTGACCACACAAAGCCACCCCTTCCACCCAAACGGACTATATTGACTATAAATTGACTATATTGACTGACTCCTTAGGTGGGATCACCACCAATCCGACCCCTCCGCCCTGCGCTACAAAGACGAACCAACTCACAGCGATTCGCCCCACCGAGCGGCGGGGCACGGCTGGGCCACCGAGGCCGACGGTCTCCGAACGGTGGAGCCTGCTGTTGGTGGAGCGGTCGCGCTGGCGCTGACGGCTGGAGAGATGGTGTTGGAGGGCGATCCTGGCTCTCCGGAGCCGAATCCCAAGGATTTCATTGGTGCCTGGGACTGGGACAAATGATGGATATGATGGCTCCAGTGGGCTGATG